TATTATTTTAAAATCAATGAAATCAAAGAAAATTACATTAAAATTGACGGCAAAAAGTAAAAACACGACTTGTCGAAATCCAATCGTTGAAAAATAAACAAACAACAAAAATGGGACATTTTCTTTTGTGTTAACATACAATTAATTTCTATACTAAACGGCATTACTTTATAGCGAAAAAAATACATTTCATTAAAATCCGCTCCTTAGTGATAAGTACACCAAAATCAAAATATCCGTTTTTCGTTAAAAAAAATTGGAGCTTCTGGAGAACATGTCATTTCAGCCTTTTTTTTGAAAATTTGCAATTTGAGATTATTTTCAAAGAAAACTATGAGATTTCTAGAAATTTCATTAGCAATCGTTTGAAGAACTTGAATTCAAAAATTAATAACGTATTAAAACACTCGTAGTGTAAATACTACCGTCGTGAGATATTAAAAAAGAAAAGCATTTGTATAAGTTATGAAAAATCAAGAAAATACATCAAAAGGACGTTTACGTCACGTTATTAAATGCATTTAGCACCATCCGTACAAAACATTTAAAGAACAAATTTGAAGCAGTATTTCGAAAATCTTGTGTTTAAAAATATTGATATTTCACTTGAAATTACGCAAAACTACTAATACTTAAAAAATTCACATAACATTAATTAAATAACTAATTGTGAATAACATATTTGATTTGTTGAAACAAATCTCTCTTTAATAATATATGACGGGGCTAAACAATTTCAAATTTTTGTCATTTTTGAAAATGCAGTTACTGAATATTGATCCAATACCATCTTTATAAGTGTACTCCACTTCATTATTTTAAGAAATTTAATGAAAAAATGGGGATCATTTTTTGAGAAACTTTTGAAAAGTTCGCAAGTGATTCATGTAAAGCACCCCCAAAATTCAAATAACGAACGGGCTACACTGAACACAATCCACAAATTCTTACAAATACCAGAAACTTGAACACTAGCACTTTAAGTAATACATTTTTTTACAATAGGTTATTCATAAAATGGCAGTCTGGTAGATGGTGCGACAAAACCGAAAAAGTAGCTCCGAGTCTAAAGGAAGGGGGAACTAATTAGTCTAGTTAACTAGAGAGTCTGTGCCATTATCTGCCACTAGTTCTACATTTTTTCAATTTTTTGTTGTTCTAATAAAGTAGATTAGACTTCGTAAATATGATAGAAAAGTAAAACGTGTTTTAATATTGGAACTTTTAGTGCAAAATTTGATTTGTTTTTTGGGAAATTGAGTCCATTTCACAACACGTGCAATACTGACGTCGTTAACACCCAAAAACTTCGAGATTTCGAGAAACATCACTAGACATCGTTTGAAGTCTTTGTATTCACAAATGCGTTAAATTACAACATTAACGTCGTAAGATGTAATGAGGACGTAAGACAAATATTAATAAAAATTCCTAAGTTTAATTTTTGAAAAATTTGGTTTTAATCACACAGGCGCTAAAGGAATATGCGTTTGTTGCGTTGTACCCGAACAGTAAATTTATTAGAAACTATTTGGAGCGGTGTTAGAAAAAATATTGTACAAACATTTTAGGCATTAAAAATTATCAACATCGCCCTCCGTAATAAAAAAAAATGTCTGAAACGCAAAGGACAAAACAAAAAATGTGGAATACAAAATTGACAGACTGTTTCGATTGACGCAATGGTTGTTTTCTTTCCTGTAAGTTTTATATCGAGTTCATTGTGTTATGTATAATATTTATTAAGTTTATTTTTTACATATTCAATTTTTTTTCTTCGTAGATCACTTGAAATGGGGCTTATAGAATATTATAGAAGAGTAAAATATTTTTTTTCAAAAAAGGCCACAAATTTTGAGAGAAAAACAAAACAAATCAAAAACGTGAATCATAATGGAGCTGTTGTCATAAGATTTAGTTCATTGGGCTCTATCTGTTCAAAAAGTTTAAGGAAAAAAATTGGAGCAGTTCCTTTTTTAGAAAATCTTGTTTACATATTGCTTAAAAATTATCCCGTTTCACCCCAAATTATGTCAAAGTTACTATTTTGAAAAAATCTTGCATGGTATTTATTAAAGATTTAATTTGAAAGAACAAATTTGCTCCAAAAAAAAATCATCCTTAGAAATAGAGTTGTAAGTAGAGGTACAAATTATTTTTAATGTTAATTTTTTTAATGAAAATTTTGAGTTTTTAATGAAAACTCGGACCCCACTTGAACAAATTACCAAAACGTTAGGATTAGAAAACAAAAATAGTAGTACCACAAAACGGCAGACTTTCTATTAATTCCCCTTTCTTTTGATGATCGATTATTAGTGATTCTGAGCACGTCAACTGTCATGAAAAGTAAGTGTCATGCATGTGCATCCCTTCTGAAGGTGGCGAAGCTCTTGTCCCGCTGGCTGGCGACATCAGGCGTTAACCTACCGTCGGCTAGCGGGATTTCCCCCACCACAAGGTATCTCCCATCAACGGGGTACAGTCCCAACCGGAACAAGCTCTAAGGCTCCGACCGGTCTCCCTGTGTATGTGTGGTAGTGTAGAGTATGTGTGTGTAAAGGGTGAGGATAGGACAAGGAAGAGGTAGGAAAGATCGTGCGCGTACGGGCTTGTTTGTTAGGATACTGCTCTGGCACTCGCCTGGCGTTGATCGGAGAAACCTCGAACAACTACCGGTCAGATCAGCCGGCGGTCACAGTTCTCCAGAAAGCAATTGAATTCGACCTAGTTATGTAGTATCTAGTGTCGAAAATCCTGCCACCGTCGGGACTCGAACCTAGGACCTCCCAGTCATAGTGCAGTGACATCAGATGATGCCCTAAACAACCTCTCCCGGCCCTTCCTTTAAAGTCGGAACATATTTTCGTCCACCGCCTTTGCCACTTCCGTCAATTGCATACATTCCAGGGCTCCCGCGGGGACACCACTACACTGAAGGCACCCCTTATACTCCGATTTAAACACAATGACACTTCAAGGTCACGAGCTGGAAGGAGAGAACATTATAATCCAAACTCGACCACCAATACCAAAACTTTTAAGTCGTAACGATGCTCCCGAATGGATGAAGGTGTCCCCCTCTCCGTCCAGCTCGTGACCTTGAAGAGCCATTGTGATTAAATCAGGGTTTAATTGAAGAGTTTCCTCGCGCTTCCCGAAGACCGTACCAAGGTGGCCCTGAGACCCAACACAATCTAAAAAAGAAAAAAAAAAATCAATCTTCAATATTATGATGCTAAAAGAATTTAACTTTTGGAATTTTCGCAAATTCAGAGAGTTTACTTTAAATTGGGCCTGCACAATTTTTATAAGTTAACATCCCTCTATTCGGGAGAAAAAAAATACCAAACATTTGGAAGATTTTGAGACCATTTTGAAAATTGAGAACTCACGTTACATTCTTCCAAAATCGAAATATCCACTTCAAATTCGAAGGGCCTCGAGTTCAGCCAGATCGAATAGGGATTATCAATTCTGAAGAAAATCCATGGACGATTTAGGCACCCTAGATACTGAGAATTTGAAACGGATTTTTGTTTTATTTTTGGTGGTACTTTTATATGAAGCATGAATGGTATTTTCAAAATTTTCTCGAAAATCACTCCATTTTTTGGGGATAGAGCAAAATATGTTTATAGTAATGGAGGTCTTTTTTGCGTTACACTCTCTGCATTTTCTAAAATTGTACAATTTTTTTTATCGACGTCTTACTGAAGCTACAATACTGACTTTTTTCATAATGAAATGTGTTCTTCAAAATTAATCTTTAAATAACCTTACTATCATTTCTTGAAAATGAGTAATTTTCGCATAATTTTGGGGACCGTTAAAAATAATTCCAGAAATGATGTGCTCTTGTAGCTCTACAAGTTTAAATTACCTTTACTGTTCATGTGATTTGTTTTCGCTATTTGCCATTTACATTAGTGGCGGATCCAAAGGTGGTCATAATTGATTGCTGATTCAGGGCTACGGTCATTAGTTCTGTAAGTGTAGTGTTGTCTTCCTTGGGAGATGGTGATCCCTGCTGGATAGTGAGATCAGGCTCCAACTATGGTTGCCAAGTGACCACTATTTGAGCGGATATTCCGCTTCACTTCACTATTTTTTTCAGAAAATAGTGGACGTTTTTTTTTTTCAAAAGCTTAATGATGAAATGGTACGTAATCTTAAAGTTGCACAGTCTTAAGAGAATAAGAATAGTAAATTTGTACGAAAATACATAATTTAATTGCAAATTTTTTAAATAGTTTTTACTACTTAACCCTCTCCCTCGTTTGTTTACTATTTTTGGAAGCATTCCTGGCAACAGTACCACCGACCTACACATCGGCTCGAGGGGATTTCCCCAACCAGGTATCTCCCACAAACGGGGTACTGCGCCAGGGACAAGCTCTAAGCTCCAGTCTGATCTCTCGGTAATGTAGTGCGTGTAACTAAGGGATGAGGATAGTACAAGGAAGGGGAAGGAAAGATCGCGCGCTGTCCTTAGCCCGTTTAAAGTACTGCTCGGACGTTCACCTGGTGTTGACCGAGGAAACCACGGGAAACTAACGTTCATAGCAGCGGACGGTTATAACTCTCCTCCAGAAATCGGCTGGATTCGATATAGCTATTTCGAGAATTCTGGCGTCAAGACTAGACCCCCCAGGACCTTCCGGCCATAGGCACTATAGAGACATCAGTTAATGCCCTGAGCCACCGCAAATATCAAGGTGGTCATCGAAAGCCATGCTCCTCTCCGCCAATGCCAATAGTTTAGAATATATTGAGTAAAATTAATACAAATTTACATATCGATCGTATCCCATCAAAAGATGAATTCTCAATACGAATTTATTTATTTTATTCTATTTAAGTGATATTTCAAAACTATTTGTGGAGGTGGCTAACTGACGTTCTCTCCCGCAGGAAACTCTTCCTGAGTGTGATCCTGATTTACATGATCGTATCTCGTTCTACATTCACCTTATCACAAACTTGATGTTCTAATAGAAGTTGCTTTCACATGCTGGTGTTTGTTAAGGGACGAAATGGAAGACTTAACATCCAGCACGTTTTGCCGAGATATTAATTTGTTTTGTCTTAAAAATCACAATATTCATTATTATTTGATTAATTGATAACCAGACCGATCATCCAAAGCTTATCTGTCATAACGATGTTAAAACGTTATCTTATTCGGAGGCATTAGGGTACGCAACTCGCCGCACGCCTTCGGGAATGTCCAGTCATGTACTACTTTATTAGGGCAATCTAAGCGGCGTTCCATTTTAATTAAAATAACAAATAATTCTTCTCTTTTTATATTCCTAATCTCTATTGAAAGAGTTGACTCACACAACACTATGCACTTGAAAGTAGCCAAGAGATTTTGATGACAAGTTTTAATGAACAGTTGTGTAAACATGAGAGTCAAGGTCATGAAAACAGTTGTGTAAGTCTGTCGCGGACAGAATGAACCAATGAGGAAACAATGCGACCCGGCCTACAGTATATAAAAGAGGGGGCTTCTGTTAAAATTGGTCTGCAGTGTCCATACATCTGTTCAAGAAGATGGATGCCTTACAATTTGATTTAAAAAGCAAACAATTATCTCTTATTCAGTTACCTGTGCCATCCAAATTAGCTGAAAATGATGTTCTGATAAAGGTTGCATATGCTGGTATATGTGGCACTGATTTACATATAGCAGAGGTCAGTTTTCTTAACCATATAATTCATATTTCTTGTTCATTCAAAACATTACATCACTTGAATATGACTTGATTTTATGCAATTTGTTTTTCTTTCAGGGTGCTTTCCCGTGTGGTGAAAAAGTAGTTTTGGGTCATGAGTTCAGCGGTGTGGTTGAAGCAGTTGGATCCAAAGTGAATCATGTGAAGCCTGGAGACAAAGTATCAGTGGATCCAAACAGGTAAATGAACCTTTTTTAAGTTAGGGTACTATTTGCATGAGTACATCACTAGGAGTTTGAACTAAGATATGTACCTGTCACATTCTGTTTCAGTGGTTGTGGGACTTGCAATTACTGCACAGATAGTAATTACCATTACTGTGAAGTTGGAGGGTTGAATAATACCATTGGCATATATCGCAATGGAGGATGGGCCAATTATTGTGTTGTGCCAAATAATCAAGTCTTCAAATTACCTGAAAAAATTTCTTTAGAACAAGGTAAAAAGCTGATATTAAGCATGAACATTTAGTTTTCACAAAAGATGACAACTTCGGACATGTGAACTAAATTCATAAGGATTAGGGAATTGTTCCACAAAGAATCATTTCTGCCCTCTGTTCAGCACTGTAGAGGGATAGCAGTGGCATTTATCTTTCACTCTTCTCTAAAATTTTAGTGAGCACTCAAAAATTTTATTTTCTGTAAAGTAAGGCAAAATTACCTTGACTATTCCACTTGTAAAATTTACACCTAGTGTTGAACAATACATCTCATATGCACCAAACAATCCGGTGTATAACAAATAATAGCTTTTTGTTACTTCTACCTCCCTGCAGGCCAAACACAAGGTGCATATTTATCATGGGCACTTGGAACACAGAACGCGATGTAATTTAAATTTGGCACATTCTGAAACTTTTTTGGAAGTAATTTCATCCAAGAAATAGTCTTATTAAATAGAGCTTGTGCACTGAAATTTTCCAGATAAATTATCAGAATATATTAAAGTAATATTTATCGGAAATTTTCAATGTACTAGTGATACAATATTTTATGCAGCATGTTTTTCATAGGTGTTAGAAATACAGAGCTCTTCACTAAGTGTTCCTAAAAGTAAATTGTAATAATTTCTAAAACTTTTTAACGATTTTCTATTTCTGATGATTGTTAATTCCCCTGTCCATTAGTCATCTTTAATGCTCTTCTGACCTTCACATAATCATGCTTATTACTTACTATATTAACGCTTGGCACCACTACCCAGAACATTTATACCCCAAATTCTATCAAAGAACCACTTTAGTATATGGAGCCTGAGCTTTCTATGAAGATACAAAAAATGTCACATTTAATGTCATAATTTGACAGACTCCTTATCTCAGATATTTCTGTCAATTAGAAAGCTAAAATATGTTACTCTCCATCCCATGCATTATTCCAAATGGCAAAAAATTTCAAACACTGTGTTTGAGTGCTTGCTCCTCTTGTAGCTCATATGTTACAATGTAATTTAGGTCTCTGTAAACATTGTAGCAAATCCACAGTTTAAGTATGTTGTTTATGAAATTTTGTGTATATGACTTTCAAAGCAAGAGAAAATTTACTATCTACTTGAAATTTCATGAAGAATGAGATAAACAAAATTTAAGTGTGCAATTCAATTTCATGAATATCTTAAAAACGAAGAGGAAATCAACTAAAATGAAGAGCACGTTTCTGAAAATCCATACAATTTTCTAAAAAAGTCTTTTGATTTATACCAATATTGTCTCTGGGCTTGAGTAGTTGATGTTCAAATTCATTTTTTAGATTTTCACTCGGAGTATGCAAAAATGCATCTGCACGACAGGTAGGCAGAGGTGGAACTGTGTGAGACAGAGAAGGGCAGGACAAGGCTAAGAAGGACGAAGTTAAGTTGGGAGTAAAGGATAGAACAGCTTCCTTTGTCCAATTTGCACCAGGGTTGCAGGTTCAAATCATTCTTTAGACATATGAACAAAACTACTGTGTACTTCCTCCTTTGATTTGGGTACCTATGTCTGGTCCTTCCTTATAAGAGGAAAGTCATTATAATTACTAATATTGTGGTCTTATTACAGCGGCCCTAACGGAACCCCTATCATGTATCTCACATGGATGGGACAAAATTCAACCAATACCAATTGGAAAAGATATACTTATAATGGGAGCAGGAATTATTGGTAATCTCTGGGCATGTGTACTGCATTTGCAAGGACATCGTAAAGTGATTGTAAGCGAGCCACAGGAGGCTCGTCGAAAGCTTGTTGCCAATTTAAGTAAGGTTATCATTCTTTTTTTTAAAATAATTTGTTGAGCAATTGTAGAACATTTATTTTTTAACACAGTTGCTAAGGACCAAGTGTAGAAATAGGTTTTAAAATGGTTTTTTTTACTACTTAAAATCTCAAAGATGTTTCACAAGACAGCTGGCATATTCAGTAATTGATATTACCTTTGGGTGCAAAATTAATGGCTCTGCTCAGAACAAAATAGTTCTACAAAATAAGTTTGAGATGTATTGCTTATCTTGTAGGACAGCAGGAAATGTTGAAAAGAAAGAATCGGAAGGAAATTGCAGAAGAACATTATCATCACCATCATTATTAACTAAAATGATATCAAGATCTTTTAAGATCACAAACACCTAAGGACAATCGCTAAGAAACATGAGAAGCATTTTTCACATTATTAGACTACTATTGTAATGGGATTGCCTTTATTTACTCCTTTGAAATAATTACACTTGTTAAACAGTTGAAGGAGCCAGATAATTGGCATGATGACAGAAAACAAGTGTTATATAGAGGGTTCAATCATATGAAGAAAGTGCCATTGATGGTTTGAAATATTCTTATTGAGACAATTATCCAGTACTCATTATTTAGCATATGCTAACCTCCTATTGTACCCACATTTGATCATAAAACGGGACATTTAACTGTATTGATTGGACCATTATGACAGTCATTTGCAAACAACATAATTTTTGTGTCACGTCAGTTCAGATATATAAATATAACAATGTTTATACACACGAAAAAAAATGTGATACAACACTACCATTAAAGACAGACATTCAAAAGGAAACACTAAAAATAACTTTTATGCTTAATTTCATTTATAACTGCAAGAAGTAAAACAATAAATACAAATATAACGAGCTATATAAAAAAATTGTCAAACTTGTCCCTACGAACTCGCTTGAGCAAGTTCGTTGTTTTTAAGAAATTTTATTTTTACAGATACAGGCTATGAAATAATGAAACCCACTGACCTCCAGGCACGCAAAGCTGCAAATCCTAAATGGGGAGTAGATTTGATCATTGATTGTAGTGGCTTTGGCCCTGCCATAGAGCAAGCTTTAGATCTTTTGAATCCAGGTGGCCAACTTTGTATTTTTGGAGTAGCTTCTCCAGAAACAAAAATCAGGCAAGTACTGAAGCAAAAGAAATGCTCAAACACTTCTGTATGTTCTCTTGTAATCATTGTTGGTATTTTCAGTGTTTCACCATACCTGTTATTCAAGAAGGAACTCACAATTAATGCTATTAATGTCAATCCATTTTCATTTAATAAATCCCTTGGATTTATTGATGCCATGGGAGACAGGTATGTTCAATAAATATGAATTATACTAGAACATAAATAACAAATTCATATCTAATATATGTTTGCAGGTATTTGGCATATGAAAAACTGGGAATAAAAGTATTTGGCCTGAATCAATATGAAGCAGCTCTTGCTGCACTGAAGACTGGTACCATTGCAAAAGCAATATTCAAAATCGACTGAAATTCCACACATACATATTTTATTATTCAATAATAATACAAATTTATTATCACTTCACATGTACATTCAAAAAATTCAAGAAAATGCATTTAAATACAGTGTATAAAACATTGCACTACAGCGTAAATTCAGAGCTGTGAAAAAGTAGCCATATAAAAACAGGTATTAAAATCTGTTCAATAAAAATTGTCTAGAGTAGGCTCGACTTCCCTTCCCCAACTAATATATGTTAATATAAATGGACCACATATGTTTTTATACAACAACTTTTACAAAATTTGAAATGTCCTTTTAAAAAGTTATGTAATGTTTGCTTAAAATAGCATCATATTACACTGCCAATTGACATAAAAAATAAAAATATTAAGACCACAGTGTTTAATAATTTTTGTTTTTACAGCCTTTCCATGACTTCGTGAAAATAATGCAAAATAATCAAGATTTTATTTTCTAGGTACCTCATAATAACAAGTTGATACAATATACTTTAAATGCCTAACTGATGCATTCAGTATCAATTTAGAAAAAAAGGTCTTGATACACTCCTTCTAAACACTGCTCTTAAAACTCTAAGACAATAAGAAAATGTAATAAAGGGTTTGATACAAAGTCTAAATTGCATAAAGTTTTCAAAATATTTACCTTCTGCTTCTAGAGTGATTTTTTAACACACTTCACAATAAGTTCTTACATAAAAAGCATATACCTTGATTGTTTATAAGGAAGACATTACTTAATAAATACAACAAGGTGCTTAAGGGGCCATTCAAGAAAAAAAGTTTGTATGGGAAAGTCCCATGTCTGTGATGAAAACAAATGAATTGTCTTTACGTGTGTGTGTGTATGATAATGAACAAACATCATTTACTACTTATATTATTAATATCAAACTATAAATAAATGTTCAAATTAATTAAAAATTTTAAGGGTTGGAATGGAAAATTCGATGAGACGGGTTGTGTTTGTTAAATTTTATGAGTTGTTTCCAAGGGGAGATGGGCACACATTTCTTGAATGGCTCGTAAAGTTCTCAAAAAGCAAACTGTCAACTTGCTTGAAAGCAATTAAAGTAAAATAGTCATTTCATTGATATGTAATATTTTATTTAGGTCTGTAAGAGGAATAAAACCATTTCCCTTTTCTAAAATTAATATCCAAGTTCATTATAAATACTTCAAGATTTGAAATTTTTATAAAATAGCCTGAATACCAAGTTGATGTACACGAGATAATAAAGACTGCTCATATGCCCATTACACACTTCTGCCCACAAAAAGCAAGGTCAATAACTAATAAATTAAATTTTAATAATATTGTTAATAAGCATTATATCATTGTATCTGACAACAACGAAATTCTTTATGACTGTGGAACTCTTACAACACAGGCCAAACGTGTGGAAATAAGTTCCATAAAGCTTCTTAAAATTATCAGGGTAAAACATAAAATCTCTTATTTCACTGCATGATGGTTACTCTTGTATTTGGTGTCTTACAATTTGAATCCTCATAATAATGTTATACATGCCATTTAATTTAATTGAAATTCTTCTCTATCAAATCTTTTCATCCACTTCTACAAAAATATGAAAACCTGAAATTATAGCTAAATATCAGATTATCAAATATACTGAAACACACAATTACTGTATTCAGGAAAACAAATAACTATTAGAACATTAGGTCAACAGTTTGCTTTACAATCAATTACTACTTAGACTGTGAAAGTGCAAGAGTTACAAACATACACATGTATATCTACATATATATTGACACAATTAGTGTGCACTCCTGATCCATAGCTAATTAAAATAAGAGAATTTTATTCATTCTTACTTTAAAATAATAAATTCTTTTTGTGTAAAAATTTGCTATAGTTAACTGCTATACGATGCAGCCATTCTGCTAATTATAAACCAACGTTCATAAAATCAGGGCACATTACTAGAACATTATATTAATTAAGAAATAAAAGTTAAAAATCTCTAGGATATGTTTGTTTTTAAATTTCCATTCAGATCTTTGCTAAGAGTAACAATGAAAATCTTGAATTATCAGTCCTGAGATGGAAACATCCATTTCAAACACAATTTTGTTACACAATACACACAATTCAGACTTATATAGAGAAATTTGTAGTTAATCATGCTTTGTAACACTATAATCAAACTCTAGAAATTAAGTAATGTTATTTTCTTTATTTGTTAATCCATTCACTAAAAATATGTCTTTGCCAAAGCATTAAAATCTATTTAAAATATACTAGAATTATTTGAGGAAATGATATTTAAACCTTCAAAGTACAAGTAAATGAGATTCATAACACTAAATTCCAAATTTGGTATCCTTCTATATCAGTTGGACGGATAAACTGTTGGAACAATTAATATGCAGAATTATAACTAAAATAAAATATCTTTCTTTCATGAGCAATAAATCAGATTTCACATCGCTATAAATACACTAGGGGATTGGAATGCATTATATGGTTTACAAAAATTTCACGAACATGAGTCATTGAAGATGAAAAACAAGTAACTTACAAAAAGTCAAAGAATTATAAAACTGAACTTTCTTATTTTTAGGACCATGATGAACATGTTTTTGTGTACAAGATATTACAGAGCATGTTAATTACATTAATTGCTTAAAGATTGTAAGGCAGTAATTTAAAGCTATGGAAATAACACCATGATCATTTAGCAAATGGTGCAGTAAACAAATCTATAGCTGTATTTAAATGTACTACTTTGCTTTATAAAAGAAATTTAAAAAATCCATTCATTAAAAATATCATGTTCCATTATAATCAATGGAATATATCAATAAAACTACAAATATAATTCATTCAATAGTATGAATGAATAACAACTTATTAATGTTATTATATTGGAATTATCATTAGTTGATATCACTAAAAGATTTACTAAAAAAGCCTTGGTAACAAAAATATTCACTTTGAAATATAAAAAATGTGCAATTATATTGTGATGCACTATGTATCTGTTACTAAAATGTATCAGATCTGTGCATGAAATGGAATGTGACTATTTTTTTCTAATTTATATGAGTATAAACCATTTAAGAACTGTGAACACTAGAATACTCAGCCTACATTAATACAGATATATTTTTGATCAAGAAATTGATTGATCAATGTGATGAAATTACAACAATTTCCATCCAATTCTTGAGTAAATGATGAATGATTAAAATATGACAATGATTAAAGTGAGAATTATGAATAAGAATGATATTTCATAACACCACACTCTGAAATTCATACAGAGAAACATTTACCAAATTTTTAAAATTTCAAAAATGTGCAGTCAAATATTGTACTGACTGCACAACAACACTGACCTACTTGAGAACAATAAAGCTCCACTTAAAACAATCACAAGCCCACTGATGCCTGAATACTGTGTACCAGTATTCGTAGTAATTAAGCCAGGGTAATTAACGTTTGGAGTTGAAATTTCTGAAACAAAAATTATAAAAATACTATGAATAATTAAAAAAAACAAACAACAACAACACTAATGGCAGTATATAATAAAAAATAAATTTTAATTTTTAAAACATTTCTTTGCCTATTTTGAATACTGGGGCAATATTTTTCCAAACTTTATTTTGTTCACAAACAAATAATCTACTTTGCTCCTTAAAATATATATATAAATTCTTTGAAGAAATTTGTGTTTTAAAATTTACATTAGGCGAGGGCAAATTCAGACTCTGCATATGGCACTGCATGCTCTCACCTGCATATGTGATACCCTGACTAATTGTTGCAATGAAGCATGCATATGTACATACATATGCATGTTGCAAATATATATACTCTTCACGCTGTTAATTTGTTTTTGCTTCATTTTAGTGACGATTTTTGATTTGATTTTTGCACTTATTTTGTAGGAACGGCATTTAACTTTTCAGTTTATAGGGGAGATTTTTTTCTTATATTATTCATGGGATGGGATCTTCTATAGAAATTAAAAAACAAAACATGATAACTGGCTGAAAGAATGTTCATGATGAAAATCGGAAAGAAAAAAATAAATAAAAAGGATACATCTAAAGAAAATGTTTGTGTGATCACAAAAAAGATAATAACATGAAAGGTAAAATTCCATAGTAAAGTAATAATGGTAAGTTTAAAAAAAAAATCATTATTTATGGCTACATTCTAATCATAAGGTCTGTTCTTCTCCCTACCCACTAAGAATTTACATTTACAAAAATTACAATTGGGTTATTGGGATGTAAGTAATGTTAATTGATATTTCAGGTAACGAAAGAAAATTCAATTTGAGAATGCCATCTACATGAAATTAGCTTGTAAGCCATAAATTACAAGTGATTTTTTTGCGATTTTTTGGATATCCTTGAGATTTTTTGCAAAATATGGAGAGCCATGAGGCAAGGGGCATTCTTAAAAACGAGAGAGAGAGCTACTATTTATTACACTTATAATCAATAATTGTAATTTTCTTGAAATGTCAGCTGCTATCATTTATACCCACATTGACTCAACTGTGAATAATGAACTAAAAATGAGGATATATTTTACATTTATGTCTGAGATGCAATATTAGGGACTATTCTGGCAAACACCTCCAGTGACTGAGTAAATGTGATGACTATACTGATTTTCTTTGTAACAAAAATAGCATGAAAGATGAATAAAAGCTTCATATGTCATGTATTGAGTATGCTCTTTCACTACTGAATCCAATAAAATTTTTTTATCTGACATGAATCTATAAAATCTAGTGCAAAGATGTTCGGCTATTGCAATGTAATTTGTGTACTCAGCTTTTACTGTTAAGGATTGGGGAGGGGGGATAGTGGCGGGAGGAAAAATATTTTTGTAAAGATGACTTGAAAAAAAGGAAGGGATACGGTAAACTGAGGATGGTAGGTAAGCATGGTTATTGTTTGTGAAAATTTTGCTTCAATGGAAAAGAAGGCTCATGTAAACTACCTTTCACTTTTTACATTCACTTTTTGTTATACAGACACCAAGTTAAGTTCTTGTATTTTCTAAGTTGCTAATTTGCTTAAGATATGAAGGTAGCCAATTACAATTTTGAATTTCAGCATCAGATTAAGATTTACTCTAAGACAGTGTCATGTCGAAGTACACACAGCAATAATGAAGGACATGACCACTCTAGCGAAAACATTTTGAAGTTTTTAGAAGAGTTTGTGAAATACTTTATGAAGAAGCAAGACACTATGCATTATTCTCAGTTTCACAACAGAGAGAATTTCAGTCTGTTTGTAGTATGCAGATGCATGATTGTACTAATGAAGATCAAACGTGAAATGCATGCATGCATTTTGTGCTGTTTGCAGCTTCCATTGTTGCTAACTTAAGTGTAGTGAGTCAAGTCAGGAACTTCATTATTTTTCGCACAGAATTGAATTGCAATATGAACATTGGAGGTGTGACATTATTCTTTTGTGGAGCAGTGCCTGACCTGAATCAGAACATCAAATCAATGCCAAACGGACTTGGATTCCTGACCCAAGGCAGCTTGGAGTCTGTGCACACTAGTCTTTGTATTTTAATATAGGCTGAAACATTTATTCATAAACCATTTCAAAATACATTGAATTGTAAATTGATGTTCATGCATCATCTAATGCATCTTGGTGAACCTCCATTGAAACAAACAAGCATTAAATGGACAATTGCTTGGTGTTATGAAAACCCAAATTAAAGTTAATTCTACATAATGGTGCAATGCTTGTGTAATTATGTCTATTCTCAAAAGGAAGACATGTTTACGTAAGCCTTTTCATTTTTTTATCGTTGTACAAAAAAATAACTATAAAGCAATGAGAATTATTTCCAACAAAGGAAGTTGTAAGGTAAGATACAGGATCCAAAAATCCCAATCATATATTTAAAAGAAGAAAAATAAAGTGAGATAAATAAACAACTAAATTGAATTGAATGGTGTTGTAAAGTCAAATATAAATATAATTAATGTCAAAGCAGATCTTTTTATGCCATCTTCAAATTTTCTATTATGTATTATTGTGTTTTTTTTATTTTTATATTATGTGTAACAATTCAATGCATATGCATTCAATGCTTTCCGCCTGTCTGCCTCTTTCTTCTTGCAAAGCCAGATGCACACATTCGAAATCAATAGAAATTATGCAGTTAACAATTACAGCCAACTGTAGCACAATATTAAAACTGAGACATCTGATGAGTTCAACTGTTTCACACAACAGTTTCCAAGCAATTCAATCATTCTCAATCACAAACATCGAAATGTGCATGATCCTAATCGCCCATTAAAACTTGTAAATTAGAAAGACATCTGTCATGTTGCAAATTTAACACTCACTTAAGACTTTACCTCAAAAAATATCAACAGCATTTTTGGTGTTAACAACAATTTTGATTATTAAGATACACAAAATTATTGTTATCAGAAAGAAGTGAGGTATTAAATTGTGAAATAGGAATTTCCACACTTCCCATAACACGGAATACAATAGCATTAGAAAGGGCGTTACCAATAGTAGTACGCTCAATTTTAAAAAATATTTCTTGTTCCTCCTGCAAGTTTCATATTTTTTTGAGAAGGTCCTTTTAACAAGAAAATATTGAAATTAAAGAATGTTCAGAGGGCAAGGAGGAGTTTCATGAATAACTTCTTAAAAACAAATAATGCTCTCTGCCCACAATCCTTTTAATTTTTGATATTAAGAGTTAAGATGTAGATGTGTATTCATTTCTTATAATTGCAACAAGCTGCTTCACCGAGGGAAAGTGACTAATGTGCATCACACTCCAAATCACTTATAATACACAATATCCATCACTTACTTATCAACTAGAACACAGATGCTAACGGAAACAGTTACTTTAATACTGTCTAGGTCTAGTTGTGAGCTTTCTCAGGTTAAAACACACTAGAATACTAATGCCAATTCAAACAGCTGGCCACCTTGTTCATTATTATGAATAACAAGGTAGAGTGTTGGGCAAAGGATGATTGCTTTATCATCAATTATTTTTATTAGTACAAAAATTAACTACTGAAATAGTATTAAAGCATGCCACACACAATTACATCACTTTGTATATTTAAAAGGCTTATCACAAAGTGTTGGTTTGAAATGAAGACTAGTGGAGCTACAAAATAGAACTAACTTCTCATCCTAGTTAGTTTTCTTTCTTTGTTCTGGACTAACTTTTCTGTCTTGCGTCATTGTCTTAAGTTTTTTTTTAAACTTTCCGAATTCTTCGGGTTCCAAACACAACCAAAATATTACTTTAAGAACATTATAGAAGAGTAAAACCTCGTCCCACAAGGAAATTTTCCATGAAAAATTTGGAGCTGTTTTTAAGAAAATGTCACTGTAAATGCAAATAGGAAATATACTTTACCTCAAAGAAATTCTGTTTTCCTGTAACAATTATAATACGCGAAATCAATGAAATGAAATGAAATCAATAAATCTTCCATGACAAAGCCTAACATCTAATTAAATGCACCGTTAAATTTGCAACTACATGTTCTACAAGCAACTCTGCAGGAAGCACAAAAATACCTCTAGTAAATAATTATTTATATATCTCTAATTTCTTTAGTGCTCACTATAAGATCATATCTTACCACAAAGCACAACACGATCAATTGCATACCTACAATACAAGAAAGTAAAGTGCAAACATTCCACAAATAGGACAAGAGAAAAATGCAACAAATAAATAATTATCTTAATCTTTTTTTCATGCAAAAGAATAGTGGCAAACTATGCAGCAAAACATACCGATGCAGGAAAATTATCAAGGCTGAGATGAGAACGAGAGCCATGCTAGTTGTAATCTGCGCTGCACCACCATAGCTACCAGTACCGCAGGCCGGAGGACAAACAGGAATTATAGATTCTGCAAATAACAGCAGTAATAAAATAACTAAAATACAAGGAAGAAAAAGGAAAAACAAATTGATCTGATAAAATTAAATTAAAAATCATCCAAACCAAATGAACAGTAGCTGATATGCAAAAGAAGAAGCGGTTTTATTCTTACACTTGAACTGTGCTACAGCTAGGAAACAATACTGAACATATGCATATAATTTTACATAGTACATCTGCTGTGCAAAAAAGGGCAACAAACATTGTAATTTACAAAGTTTACAAAGAGGATAGGGGGATATCCCTAGGGAATACAAATTCAAGGCAAAAATTTCCAAAATGCTGCTAATGTACTAATCATCAATTCTTCATAACATAATGCACTAAAATTCCCAAATAACTACAATTAAATTATCCTACATTTTTTCAACGTGCACGACTTAAAATTGTTCACAAGTAACAACATTTCAATGAATGCAGCTACACATGTCAGATAAGACCTTTACAAAAAAGGAAGTTCAATACGAGCTAGAGTTTAATTTCCTCTCACAAGATGTGACTTGACAGCTATAGGAGAAAAGATTGGAGCCTTGTAAAAACTTTGTGACAGAAACTTCAAGAAGAATTGCCTACAACATTTTAGCTTGGCTTACCATTTTCTTCTCATTTGTCCAACTTTTATTACGGCATTAGCTGCTGATTTTTACAATAAACAGAAAAATACTGTACAACGAAATTCACTCATCTCATTGAAATAAATATTTACAAATAACAAATCCATGTTATTAAAATATAAAATAAATTAAACATACTTTCAATGACAAAGATTTTTTCTCGAAATCTATGAAGCAAAAGTTTTCTAAATTCTACACACTTTAAAAACAGATATAGTCTATTCAGATACACACTATTAAAAATCAATATAAGAAATTTCTTATACCAAAATTCATTTATTCTATATAATATGTAAGCTTAGTGAGATTTTACATTGATTTCAAATTTGTAGGGCCACGAATTCAGCCAAAATTACATTTTTGAGAATATCCTGAATACAAGGGAGGCACTAATGGTATTCAAAGAGAGACAGCTTTGAAAGAAGAAGAAAAAGAAGGAGAAGAAGAATAAGAAGAAAGAGAAAAAGGAGAAGAAAAAATAAATAAATATATTGGGTATCTCTCAAGGTATCTGTTAAAACCGACATTGTTATATAATGCTGAAAAAAAAAGAAGAAGAATCATTGTCTATTAACTCAGTACATGAGAAAAATTAAAGTTGGAACCAAACACTTAACATTTATAACCATCAATTACATTTTCCTTGGATCAGGTGCTGGTAAACAAGACATGAAATAATGAAAAAAACTAAAAAGGAAAAGACAAAAACATGAAACGACAAATTAAATATGAAAATCAATATGTTAATAATTATAATGTTAATGTACATTCAGTAACTAGACTTTTACTGAATTCGGCTGCAACCTGTAACATTTTGAATAAGTAAATAAACAAATGATTACAAGCAAAATTATCCATGAAGTATAACAGGTTTGACCATAGTCATTATGTCATACAGCCATATTTCGACATACTCGAAGAATAAAAGTACTGATTTAAATTACAAATGTAACATAAAAAAATGAACATGCATACCTTATTAACAAACATTCCCACGAAAGCACTACACATATTTTTTTATTTGAAAAATTAACTAATTCTTCATACACAATGCTTTACAAAACAAATCATAAAAAATTAATTACATATCATAAAGCAACAAAGATACTAACCAAACAGTTCCACCTCTGCAACGGCTGTTCCCAATTTATTAGCAGCGCTGCAAACGTATCTGCCGTATTGGCGCTTCTCAATTGTGATTACTCGAATTGTGGTATCGGTAAACTCATCAGCTGTGGCAAAGTGTGAAATGCTGGAAAAAAATAAAAATTAATGAACGGGTATAAAAACAACCAAAACAAAATGTGATTTTTAACTTGCCAAGTCATTCAATTTTCAATTCTAAACTGATAAGAAATTTGTTGAAAAAGGCTCTTTTCTTTTTAATTACTTATTAATAACATCAGGATTTCCATGCAAATATCCAGCTTAGATGGCCCTGGGCAACAACTGTTTTCACTGCATTGTTTCTCACTGGGTTTGAATCCAAATCGGGATGGATTTTCAACCCTGTCTAAAACGTTTGCTCAAATTCAGCCACAGTCAACAGAACAATTCCTGCACCTGACTGCTCTGATCCATAGTTTCTCAGAGTTACTCTGATCAATACAAGATAAATGCCAATGCAGTGCCTTAACACACAGGTGGTAGACTGTACGTGATCTTTCCTTCCCTATCCTTGTTCCCTCTCCCTTCATATTAAAACTTACACACACTACTACCTTAATAAAACGAATCTTCTCTGAAAGATCATCTTTCACAACGATGGTTTTCATGGAAAATATAACTAAATTCATGAATTATATGTAAATCAAAGGCAGAGTTGGCTTTGTCAAGTGTTTGATATACACACATCTTTGCTTCAGCAAAGCCCACTTTACATCAACGCCTTCATTTCTTTACTACCGTACTAGTAGCGTATAAGCTACATTGAAGATAAATTAAATCTCAAAACATTAACATTTACTGACAGGCGACGACACTTCTTGATATCATGATCATTATAACCTTTGTCCCAGCCCAATCTTATTGCCTCCGCCACTTTGTCTGAGTCAGGTGAGTGGTAAGGCTGCCTGTGGGAAAGAAAACAAATCCTCACAAGCTGATTGCTTCACGGCATGTGGTGAGAGAACTTTAAGAGTCGCTTATACACTGCTGGAACAATAGCTATCAAACTAGTATTGAAAATCCACCACTATTGGGACTCTAACCCTAGGACCTCGCAGCCACTCAGTGTAGCCTGCCATCTGACATATGGGCTAGTGAAAGAAAGAAGCTCATTTGATGAGAAAATGTATAAAATGTATCTATAAAAAAATCTTCAGAAGAATTTGTGTCAAAAAGTGCGTTTAAAATAACTGTACTGTAAATAAATATTAAAATGCAGGATGCTAGAGAAAAAAATTGTTTAATTTCTTTAAAATTCAGACGTTTGAAGGACAATTGTGTAAAACAATTCTGTATATTGAGTAGTAGGAATTTTAATTATACCAATTTACAGCTAGTCTGAAAGAAGAAGTAAAAGTATTCAACTGTGGCAACAGAAGGGTAGTTTGGGGTGTATTAATAGAAAAATGGCAACAGTGTTTGCAAATGCATGGACATATTACAACACTTCAAATTATAATACATGATAAATGAATAAAGTATTTTAATAGTAATACACTATTTTCAATTTTTTTTTATTGCTCCATATTTTATTTTACCATACTGGATAAAGTACCATAATAATGTGCTATTGCCGAAAAGAACGAGTAAAAATAAATCTTTCTAGCACGATTTAATAATTAGAAATATTTCTAAGTTGAATAAAAATAATACACTATTGAACAAATTTATGCAAGTTAACGGCTTACAAACACTAAAATTCAGTAACGTATTGCAATTGGAAATAAAGTTTATTATTAAAGGGCAATAATTATTAACATCACCTTTCTTATCTAATTATACTTTTCTTTTTCCTGTTACTGATATTATTATTACTACATTTGCTCTTCAGTATTTCAAAAAGACAAGTCACTGAAAAAAGAAGTCTAGTTTGCAAACACATCTGAAATGTAATGTTTTTCTTGATTTGATGTGGAAAAATGATACCTGCTTACATACAATATTACTTCTCAAACGCGAAGACAGTCAATGGAATTTCACAAACAATGTCTGAGCCCTCCTCTTTTTCTAATTCTTCTTTTTAGATTTCTTCTTCTCTGGGTCAGTGCGCAAACTCCAGGTAATGTAACTGATCCATGTCCTTTTATTATGTTTTTAAAGATATGGCGCTGGGTCACTGCGTCAAAATGTCATAGCATTATCACTCAAAGTGGATTCAGATGCCATTGTATCAATATGTCCCTTGCATTTGCATAGGCTCCAATAAGGTGGAAACTGCCCCAGCTGGGTTTGTCATCCTCAGTAGGATAAAGAGCAGTCACATGCCTCTAAAATCAGGCAAAAGACATCCCATTCATACCACTGGGCTGGGAAGCTCTGGGAAAACAGCATCCTGTTCATGACTATAATGTTAATGCTGCTCCAAAGACCGTTGAGACTGGTGCAGGTGGGAAGGAGATACAATTTGGAACTCAAAGTATGGGATGCCTATATGGGCAGATTTTGAATGTATGTCTCACATGCAACTCTGTCTGATTAGAACTATTTGAACTGAAACTAGGTAATAAGGTCTAATTGTGCTGTTCTAGGGATCAAAGTTATTTTTATGTTTGGGAGAGCACAACATGAAGCCCCTGTGACATTTTCAAAAATTTCTAGGAAAATGGTAGGGGTAAGAAGAAAAAAAAAGTTTGTTGAATAGTGGAACTTGTACTTCAAAATATGGTAGACCTCAAATTTTCATTATAACCTATACAATTTTGAGAATTGGAAAAGTTCCAAATATTTTTCAGACAATCATACTTTTGGATCATAATAGCCCGTCATCATTGTGCTAGTAAATTTCTTAGTACCAATGGTACATAGTATTTATTACAAGTAAACCCAGTACATAACTATTGTTCATCAAAATAAAAGTATTTACTTCAAAAGCTTCTAGTATAAGCACAAATTACTTTTATTCACACTACCAATTTTTCTCTATCCTTTGGAACTGTAAAGAAATTATTTCATGCTTTTTGTAAAAAAATCTAGTTCATGTATTTTTGGAGTTGTAATAATTTAACTAAAATGTATGTATCTTTTGAAAAAATTGTTTACAAAGTTATTGAAAGTTTTAATATTCAAGGCAGGTTGCATCATGAAAGAAATCTCTAATTTCGATATTTAGTTTCTAAGAACAAGTATAAAAAAGTTAAACAATTGTAATTTAAATTTCAGAGGTGTTAATAAAAACTGAAATTACATCGTATTGATAAGTTTTTCTCTATAAGAGCAAAATAATTTTAAGAAAAAGATAGTTTTTGAGGAAATTTTGTAAATGTTTAAGAGGCTCTGTATAGAGTGCTCCCACATTTAAATTATCCATTTTGAATTCACAGGTTCTTGAACTTGGTCTCCACTCTATGTTTGACAATATTACATAAATTTCTCTAGTACATTTATGAGAAGCAAAAAAAGTCCAATAACAACAAAGTGATTTTATGTAAGAGTGATAACATTTAACAATTGGGCATATAAAACCTACTGGTATTTTATAATTTAAAAGCAATTATACTTGGTGGTGGCAAATGGTGAGGTGTTGCCAAATGCATAAGCTCTGGCACAGCTAGAAGTTTCCTGTTGGATATGATACTTTAATTGGAAATATTGTCTTGTTTTTGTTTACAGCCAAATTAAACACAGTTTCAATTTGAACCTAAGACATAAAGCACAGTGACCCACACTTGAACTCAACCATATCTTCTGTCGTGTACATTAGGACGTTTCCATTCAATAGGCATTGCATATCTTGGGGGCTTCGATAACTCATACTCAACTCGCCTACTACATGTTGGCACCAGAAAAACTTAAAAGAGACATTACCCATCTATCAATCCACAAGTTCCATCTCCCATAATGAAATAATGTTTTAGAGTGGAAAGCTATTTCATTGCAAATTGCAAATTAAGACTTATTCTCTAAATCTGCATTTAAATCGTTAAAGGCAGTTTCACTGTTTCTCATTCCATTCAAATATAGTTTCATAATTATTTATATTAATATTAATGCCACTTTAAGAACAGATCAAACAATTAATCTCTTAATGAGTGCATAAAATTACCTGTAATGTTGGTTGTTGGATAACTGTACACCATCTTTACGCCACACTATCGCAGGGGGAGGATAGGCTTCTACATGACATTCCAAATCCATGTCATACTGCAGTGCTTGGCCAAGGCGAGGTCTAGGTACAGTTATGATTGGAGAAAATTCCACTTCCACAGCAATGTTTCTTCTTGCACCGCGGCCTACGCCATTCTCCGCCACACAATAGTAAGTTCCACGATCTTTTTTGCTTACTGAAGGAATCTTCAAAATATTACCCCTGTGCAAGAAAAAATACTAAATAAAAAAGCAAATATTTCAACATCCCATTTTTTGGATATACACATCTATAAATCGGGGATGAATAATTAATATACTCTTAATATACTCTATATCAGGTCTAGGTAACAAGCAGATCAGGATCGAGAAGTCTATTGCTGCATATTTTTATGTCAATTGCTTTTATATTTAGGTCTTACTTATGGCACACCTGATTTTCAGATTTAGTGTTTAGATACTAATTAGAAAATTTAAGGATTTACTTTGTTGTAATGCTTATGCACACTTGGGTAAATAAATAACATTTGTGTTTCATCAGGATTAATTTCTTTGGTTAAAAAACAAAGAACCACTCCTTTCTAATAAGTAGGACGCAGAGATTAATGAAATGTAGTTTTTTTCTTTTTACTTACAACGCCGTACTTAACAATGCTGTTTAGTAAAGAAATTAATTTAATATTATGACAAAAGGAAAGCAGATCCATTTTTATAAGTCTTTTTTTGCATTTTCGTTGATTTTGACTAATATGTCATTTTTTACCTTTCTCTACAATTTTAATGCATTTTTTGTTGATTTTTTCAATTTTAATATAATTTTAATGGTGCTTGCTCCAAATAATATTTATGATATACAACAAATGTTCCTCACAAAATAACTGAGGAGCCTATTTAATTTCTTTACTCAGAAATTATGTCAGCTGTTATATGTAATCTAATATTGCTGTGACATCTATCAGCACCATTGTTGGTTCAGTAGATTTCGGGAGAACTAAGGACAGAAATTTCCTTCTAAAAAAACAGACCAAACCAAAAGTGTGAATGCTGAGTTATCTTTAACAAATAGGTGAAGCAATCAGTAACGTATCCACTAGCTTTAGTTGATCATCTAAACTGGTTTTCATAACATTTTCCAATTTTCTTTTCTTTGCTTTTAGGGTATTTTTAAAACATTTTAAGAGCATTTCATTGTTCATTTTTGGCAATATTTTAGGTCATTAAAATCTGTCCCTACTAATAACATTCAAATGGGCAGTGGTTGCTCACCTTGGCCTTTATTTACAGAAGTATATCTCACTTGAGTTATTGTTGCCCTGGCCTGCTCTATATCAGTTTTTTAAAGTTCAAAACTCAGAAAAGTTCACACACACATGGGAAACCAAAATTATTCTAATTATTAAGAATAAAAAAGATAGTATTTGAATTTTAATGATAGTGATTAGAAATATAACATTACACGGACAGATACATGAAGGAGCCCATTGCATGACAAAACTATAGGGTTTCCTAATAGAACTGAATACATAATCTTTGCAATTTAAAATAGTAAAAATAAAATATTTTCACTAAATGATATAATATAAAACTTTCATGCATAACAACGGGCCTCCAGTTCATATAGAGCGCATTATTTTTTATTTGTACACTCAACAAGGAGTTAATCTAAGAAATAATTGTAAAAGAAAGACCTCTTAAGCTTTTACTTGTGCTTTAACCACTATGAATTTTTATTGCTTCACCTGTAAATTGATCCACCTGTTGGCAGGATAGCATTATTTTCACGACGCCATGAAACTCTTGGGGGAGGGTAACCACCTGCGTAGCATTCTAGTCTCACTGATTGACCTTCACTGACAACCAATGATCGAGTAGAATTATCTGAAATAATGGGCGGCCTACGAACTTGCAACTCAACTTCGGCCGAAATTTTATTATTCAAGGCCAGAATAACTTGACATTGGTAATACCCTGCATCAGTTTCTTGAATATCTTTTACCTACAACAAAATATACATTATATATTACCAATATAACTCTATAAAAAACTTCAGCATGTTAAAAGAAAAACAATTTTTTAAACTAAAACATTTACCTGTAATGTGTAAGTACTACTAGCAGTGTCATATCGTAAAGAGAATCGACTATCTCGAATAATGAGAGAACTGCCAGTAGATATCGGTAGTGGGTCAACCATTCTTGTACGATCAATTTTCATCCATAAAACAGGATAATCCTGAGCATACTGAACTGAACAATCTAGTTCCACAGTTCCACCAATATCTTTGATTTGTTCTTGTGAAATATATGATATTGTTGGAGTTCGTTGAGAAGAAACTGCATAAAATTGTAATATTAATTAATTGTAGGGAAAACAGTGGATCTGGAATACTATTTTCGAGCGGGGTTAAATAAAAAAACACAACTCTTATTTTAAGAAAGTGAAAAACTACTATTTCGTAACAAAAAATAGGTGTTCCTTACTCAAAAAACTTGAGACATAACAGAGAAAAAAATTGAGAGAAAATATCATTGAATTTTTTCAACAGCTTGGTGTGAAGTTACATTTAAAACATCACTAACTGTCAATAACACTGATTTCAACAAAGGTCATAAACAAAATACCTTGACGGAGAAACGCCAGGACACACACAAATAACACCGTTGGACGCGTCATTTTCTTGTTGATAAACGCCCTTAACATTAAATTAAAAGCTGCACCTGTAATTGCGTGGGACTGACGAATTACATATGAATGAAAAAGAATTCCGATGAATATAAACAAATATTGCTTCCCTCAGTGTCCAAGACAAGATCCAGTCACTTCAGTTCCTACCACTTGCTGCACTCGGGCGTCGTCTCCCCCCACCTTCGCCGCCCCTTCGCTTCCCCTACGCTCAACGGAGTATCGTTGACTCACCCACCTAGTTCCCGTGATGATGTGCGGTCGGTCTTCCTTCCGTTCACGTAACTGAATCCTTTGATAAAAATTTCATAAACTGTGCACGCAATATTATAAAGAAAACATGAAGACTGTAAGATAGTCTTACAGTCTTCGTGAATATAAGGTACACTGTCGTATTCCCGCAATCGCTTGAATCACTGTTGAGTCGTATCGTCATTAGTCAACTTTGGCGTCGCGAGATCAGTGAACGAAAGTGAAGAACGGGAAAGAGGGCATTATCTTATATTAGTTCGAATGACAAAGGCATTCTGTTTACATATTTCGATTGACAATTGATTAATTATGCTTCGCTAAGTTTTATATTAATCGCTCTAGCTGAAAAAAACAGTCTCTACAGTATTTGCTGAAAGTCGAATGTAAGAAATTCCGTGCACTTTTTTATAGCCTAGTCACTTAATTTCGACGCGATTAGCGATTCAACTGTATAGTGGTTGCATAACACTATTTTTTATCGCAATTTCTTTCTGAATTAACACAACTCAATCATCATTTTTACTTTCTCGCTCTTAAGAAGAGGAAGTATTGTAATCGTGAGCCGGACACGGCGAATTTTCAAAAACTTATTGCAGGGCCGTGGTAACGAAAAAGTGGATAAATCCAGTTGATTATTAGAGAAAAAAAGTCTCTAACACGTAGTGTAGCCAGAATCCATATTTTGTGTGCCATACATACCAAAAATTGGACGGCAAAATGTCTGTCCGTTCGTCCGTCTGTTTGTGCACAACGCTAGCGCGTAAACGGTTCAGCCGATTTTCTTCAAAATTGATTTCGTTTTGGCTGATGTTGAGGCTCCTGAAATTTAAAACCGATATTTTAATTTTGGAGGTAATTAACATAAGCTCCTCGGACATTTAAAAAAATTCATAAAAATGCCTTCACGTATTTTTATTAAATTTTGTTATTGGATCGTGCGAAGGATGTTTTAGAGAATAGTGCAGGTTTCATTTCATTTCATTGAAATCGCCGATTCGAAAATTGAAAAGAAAGCTACAAAATTGAAGATAGAGATTTTTGCCTCAGACAAATTCTGTTGTACTAAATTAGTTCTTAAAAAAGATCACTTATGATGTTTCGAAAACAATGAGTAGTTTTCGCTTTTTGTGTGGTTGAAATTATCGCATTCTCCCCTCAAAAACCGCCAAAAAATTTTCTTTAAATTTTCTACACTTATTTAATAAGGGACGGTAAATATAAGGTGCTAGTCCCATTTCCGGGTATTGCTCGCTTTTTTGAAAATTACAAAAAATAATTTAAAACTACAAAATTAAAGATAACGATTTTTAACTCAGACAAAGTCTGTTGTACTACATTAGTTCTTCAAAAAATATCATATAAAATGATTTGAAAAAAAGAAAAGAGTAGTTTTGTGTGATTTGCTTTTGAAATTTATATTTAAAAAAATATCAAAAACCGCTTCAAATGTTTTCTTTATATATTCTTCACTTATGTAATAAGGGACAGATAAAATTTGGTGCTAGTCCTATTTTCCAGAATTACAAAAAACAATTCACAACTACAAAATTGAAAGTAGATTTTTTTGCTTCATTCAAAGTCGGTTGTACAAATTTAGCTGTTTAAAAAGGTCATGTACAATTTTTTGTAAAAGTTAGTAGTTTTCGTGAAATTCTGTTTGAAATTAATGAAGCATAGAGGATGATTCAATCCTTGTTGCTCATACAGGACCCTATGATAGAGTACACTAAATTATTCATGAGTGCAAAAGGAAATAGTGTAAACCCTATTCAAAATTCAAATGAAAATTAATTTTTTTGCAAAAAAAGGTAGCTCAAATATTACTCTTTAATATTGTTCCCTGTTGCTATTATTATCTTCTTATCTCACGAATATGAAAGGGGAGAGAAAAAACTATTATTTAAGTGTTAGTTTATTATTGCGTATGCAGCCAAAATTTCGCATTTTCTCCTCGGGTAACAGGGGCTCTACAAGTGTTCAAAATGTCCCCCTCCCGTGTGGACGTAAGGTATCTGTGCCGCATAGCCTCCGTGACACGCACAACTTTGCCGGGTTGAACATTTATTTCTGTCGCCACTCTTTCAATGCGCTGTAGAAGGTCATCACGATCCACGACTTCGGTAGCATAAACGTGGTCTTTCATTTACTCCCAGCTCCAAAAGCGCGGGGAGTACCTGAGTTATAAAAATCAAATACTGAACGCCTCTTAAACGCTCGGGTAGAAAGTGAGAATCGAGAATAAATTCATCCACAATGCAAACCGACACATTTACAGAGAATGGCTCTTGGTGAGCTACACTAAGTGCAACATGCGGATTTCCTCGGCCCTCACCTGCAAATTGTGCACATTAATTGTGCCAGTTCTTGTAAAACGCGCTTCACCAAACCAAAGAACGAAATTCCAGGTTTTCAAATCTATTTGCGCCGGAAATGCATTGAGAATTGACAACTGCGTTATACGTGTCTACTGAGCGAATGCTGCACCCTTAGAAAATAGGAAAGCAATCTCTTCGCATGAATTGTCCGCCAGGCGAGGGACTGTGATGCGTTGACTTCGCGCTCTATTCGCCTTGTGCTCGCTTCCGGGGCTTCTCGGTTAGACTTAGCAACTGACTTTTCCAGAGAATTGGAGAGCTCTGAAAGGAAGTAAAACCGCTCGCTCATGTTACACGAGCATAAGCGCATAGTCAAAAGTTAAACGTTAATTATTTACAAAACTAAACGAGAAACAGTATCCAATTTTTGGGAAATTCAGTCTGGACATTACGTATGAGATAAGGTCTCGGCGTATTAGCAACCAAGACTGAATCACCTCCCTCAATCAATGTCAGAATAATTCTACAACATCATATTTACTTATTATTTTGTAAAAAATAGATTGTAAATTTTTTGTTATAAATATAAAAAAAACCTGTATATGGGCGTCCCGCCGTACACAACAACATTGTAATATTGCGAAAGTATGCTTAGTTATAGAACCGCCAGTTGGTAAAACTAATTACAAATCGTAGAACATTAGGTGCAAAAACTAAATATTTTCAAACAAATATCAACACAAATTTGAAAATTAAAACTACGTATTATGCAGCTAAATCATATCCGAACAATGAGACGGAATTCACAGAAGTAAATAAAACCCACGTATCTTGTCACTGTTCAACAATGAATTTCTTTAACATCCATCTCTGCAATGTCTTTTTGTATGCTTATTCAGATATTAATATAGAGAAATTATGTTCACTAAATAAATTCTTTAATTTCTCTACAACAACGTCTATCATCCTTTAGTCACTTGCAGGTAACCAGCAGGAATCGAGAGCTAGCCGGTGCATTCGACGTTAAATTAGAGGTGTAAGAGTGACAATATAAACATTAAAAGGTGACTGTTTTGTATTTTTATGTGAATAGGGTTTTAGTTAAGTTTAATAGGAATAAATTGCTAGCCACATTCATTTAAAAAGTTCCAAGGTAATGCCGTACGTAGGTTTTTGCAAATTTATAATTAAAAATACAATACTTCTAAGCAACATTAAAAATGAAGAGTTTTGCCGCGCGATTCATTTGTGGCACAGCACTTAGTGTTGCCATCCTCATTAAGAAAGTAAGTTATGGTGTCATGGAGCGAAAATGTCCTCTAGGTGCTGAGTTTTAATCAACGCCACCTACATTCATCTATTTTCGTGGCGTTTCTTTAATTCCCGCTCTACCCACTAAGATCGCAGCACTAAAACACGTTTTGGGAAATTCCTTAGAATTGTCAGACCGGATCCGAAAGCAAATAATCAGTTCCATACCAGGAGACCAAGACGCGTCGAATGACACATGTCTCGATTGGTGCACGGAAATGGTCAAACCGTGAGTGACGGATGCACGGGCAATCGCAGTTATTCAAATACAATTAAAGAATAAAATGTTGAACACATTTTAAAATTTGTGGGCTACGATTGAAAATTAAAAGTCATGTAATTGTCTGAAAACACAGTTTTAGTATAACAGTAATTTGAAAGAGATCCCCTTTTCATTTCATGACTTCGAACATTTCTTGAATGCGCCACGTGAGTAGCGATGGCTGAAAGCGGATTCCTTCGAGACTTTGACCTAAGGAGGTTTATCATTACTTGTGACATGGCCTTGACGTGCCAGCGTCAGATGAACGACTTTGCCTCTCTGATAGTGAGCATTTTACGCGATGTGTGGGAAGGCGCTCGCGTTCTTCGAGAATACGCATAAACAACAATAACAATATTGAGCGAAGTGGCGCAGTGCATAGCGCGCTGACTTCGTAGTCGGGAGGCCTGAGTTCGATCTCCCAGGCCAGCCATCCTGACCGGGGCTTTCGTGGTCATACAGGCGAATGCTGGGATGGATCAAAAAGGCCACAATTACCTCTCATCATCGTAATTCAAGGCTTAACAACCTTGTCTTACAAAGGGGTACAGCCGAAAAGCTGACCCCTATAATTACACATATTATTCTCTGTCGGAGATAGAATATAACTGGGCTTGGAACGTGTAGAGGGGTCAGAAATAGCCGAAATGTAAATAATAATAATAACTCCACCCGGGGAGTACACGTCCTTGAAGTTGGCGGTGGAACTTGAGTACCCCCGTGAACCTGGGACAGCTATGTCGGCGGTTGCCTAGCTACTGGTAGCGAGTTTGCTGAATAGGTTGAAGGTGAGCGGTCAGACGAAGTACTCCAGAGGAGAGCCTCAACAGTATTTTCGAAGTAGAAAGGAGTATTGATGAAGATGGCGGACGAGGCACCTCCATCAATCAACTCGCAGTGTGTGATCTACAGCGGGCGACTACAAACAGAGTCTGTCTCCACGTTAGGGGCGGCTCAATTCATTGCGGGCAGTAGAGAGAGAAGGGATTACGTGAGTACGGGAGAGGAAATGGGTTGGCACACCAGGCCACTGATAAGAGTGGAGGCCCGAACCTTGCATTAGCCAGCGAAAGAAGCAGCCTTCGGCAGTCGGTGAAAATCGCGTAGGGTTGAGTAATGCGGACTGGCGATCGGAGCAGGAGCCCAGCAGGGGAATGTCCGGAGGCCATTGCGGGTCGCAGTAACGGATAACAGGAAATTATACAATGGTTCAACGTGACCTGCGAACTCCAACTTGCTTCCTGCGAAACGACCACTAAAACCACTCAGCAAAATGAATAGAACAAGAAATGTTCTGAGACCTATCTAAGATTCATATAAGCTTGCTCAACGATATTCAGCAGCACGGACAATTTTTCATCATTAATGATACGGAATTAAATGAATCTCTCGTGAAAACGTTTCTAACATCCACGCGATCAAAATTACATTGAACAACAAAATTCAGTCAACCGCGACCAGCTATGAATGCAACTCAGCTGACTGGCGGAAGAACATTTAGCGGGGAGCGATGCGGTCTTAGGCGACGCTCATCTGTTATGCAATCTGTCATTATAATCGTTCACTGCCCTCAACGCTCTGTATTATATACACCAACTCTGCTTATCGGAATGACTAACCTTTAGATGTAACAGGACGCTTAACCCTACAGTAGTCGCGGCATATTTTTGAAACATGAGTAGTCGCTGCGGACTGTGAGTTCGCTCTTATGAGACCATCGTTTTCAGCGATGGCTCCAAAACTTCATGTCAGTTGTAATATCGATGAACATACACCGCATTTTAGTTCTTCTGTGAATTTTTTACTGCCGAGTATCGTTGACTGGCAAGCTTTTTTGAATCTTATATATATATATATATAGTTGTAACAATTTTCTTAAAAAAACTAAACAAGAATTTCTATGTATATATATGTAAATAAAGGAGAGAAATTCTTGTTTAGTTTTTTTAAGAAAATTGTTACAACTTAACTATTACAGAAAAATAAAAAATCTTGAAGTGTACATGAATTATAAAGGGCTAATATTGAAGAAATAATTGCACTAAGCAAGAAATGTCTAGGTAATAATGGTGTAGTATTAAAAATACAAATTAACTTTTGTAATTTAGATTTTTCAGGGGCTATAATGAAGTTTTTAATAAGCACACTTTGCACTTCTTGGAAAGGAAAAAAACAAACACACATGCTGAGTTCTTTTTGAGAAAACGTTGAACATGTCCCATGTGCTTTGTAATACACATTCTGAAAAACAGATCCATTTCAAATTCACAGTACCTCAAGTTCAGACAAATTGATCAGATTATATTGATTTTCAAAAATATTTTGATATGCATGTTCACAGATACCACCCACACAATCAGTGGCATGACATTCAGGCCTGCAATATGGCAGATCGTGGTAAAAAAGGGCTACTTTTAGGCTGTAAAAAATATTTATTACTTGGCTTTTATCGATCTTTCAGAAGAACTATTTTTCCCGCTTGAGTATTTTTGTAACCCTGAATCTCAATATTTATTACATTCATTACTGATGTAGTAATTACAGACTGCTGAATATAAATTCGTTAAAGGATATTTTTTTTGTATATAAGGTACTAACACTACTTGTATTTGCTATACTTTTATAAAGGGGGCCTGGATAAAGGTTTTGCAGGTGAAACCGGCGATTGTTAAAAAATTCCTTTTCAAAAAATAGCTACCAGAATGGTTTTTGAATTTCTTTCGTTTCATTTAAAGTGGTATATAGCTAAGAGAATTTGTATTATTTGCACTTAAGTCCTCAATAAAACACCAATAGAACAATGGATGACAAATTTAATACCAAATTGCACAGAACTATACAAGAAAATGAAATTATTACATTATGGACATTTCATCAACAACATAGCTAAATGTAGCAGCACTCGGTTCCACTATGGTAATTGCTTTATGGTATCCTATATTCCACAGGAAGGTCATCAAGCAATCTAATAAACTTTCAATTCATAATTAATGGTAATCCATCACTTTTCCAAACAGTTATTGCTCTCATCACATACACACTATATTCACTTCTATAGAGAACACACAACAAATTGTTTCCACATGCAATACGATATAGAATAATGAAAGTTCTGAAGGTATGGAAGTGCTTGTATAATATAATATACAGTCAAATCAGAATTCAAAGTAGAGTGACATCAAGCAGTCCTGTAGATAAATATTTAGAAATTACTTCTAAACCATTGACCACCGACAGAACAACACCATAAAATAATTCATTTACAAGAACTTCACTAATTTACTGCATTATTGTTTTGTACATTGTGTTCATGGAAGATAACGATTCCTACTTTTTGTAGGTACTAAAACATTTGACATGCAAATCACAAAATTGCTTTATACATCATAAATAAACATTTTACATCATTCCCTAGTGTGTACATTTCAGTCAAATGGATGAGCACTTGCTATTCATTCAATTATATGAAGGCAATCACAAAAATACAACCCACACTTTTTTCCTCTGTTTTACAGGCAGTCAATGTAAAATGACTTACTGACTCCCACTCAGAATGATATCATTGTGTAAAAACATTATTTTGAATGGTTAGCTTTGTGTGTTAAGGTAAAGAGAAAGGTGCAGTTTTAACTGTGCACATGTTGGTGTACATTAACACACACATGTAAGGAATATTACTGTGTCAAATTAATTTTCTCCAAATAGTAAAATACATTGTAATCTGGACAGCAGGTCATTTCTTGATACTGATTTGTAAAATATAGAGCTAATGGATTATTTGCTACTTTTCAATGTCTTTTGAAGACAACTGTACACCTTCAAAGAGTCAGACGACTTTCCCAATAAATATTACTCTGGAGGCAGAACCTTTTCTAAAAATGCTTTCAAGTCCAGTATCTCCTGCAAAAAAAGAAGACACAAATTTGAATTAATAAAAACCATGGCTATATATTTACAGTATGCACATCTAATAGTAAGACCATTCAATAGAGATCTCCATGTGAAATACAGCAAAGTTGTACAAAATATTTATGAATTGAACAATCTCATCATAGCCACTTTTTCAATCACAATGCGTTAACATTCAGTACTAATGGCTAGCTGGGATACTGATAAGAATGATCATAATGTGACTGAAGAAGCTAAAATGAAAACTATTGTTGCAACAGTGTCTTTTTCACTAAAATAACTGCAAAAAGTAATACAATTCAAATACATTAAAGTTAAAAAAAGAAATACAATGAAAATGGAAATAAATGAGTACAAAATACTTTAATACAATAGTCGCATTCATTTTGATTATGTATTGTAAAAGGAATGGCCATAAATACATACAATACACGCTCTACTACATAAGTAGTGGGTGTGTACTCTGAAGTACAATGTGCAAGGGTTACCATTGAGTAGAAAAATTCACATGCACATGGGAGTGGGGGGCGCACAACAAGGTTACGTGCCACATGGGTGTGTATACACCTACTCCTCATCCTCTAAAGTAACCCAGCTCTAAAAATGGATTCAACAACTTCAGAGAAAGAACAGGTAATTTTAAGAAATACTGCATTCAGTCTGAACCAACATGTAACACGTTTTTAACTTTCTTGTATACAAACGAGAAAACACGGAAAAATGTCTTTTAGGCACTAATAGGTGGCCAATGCGAAGAGGTGGGGCAAAATTGAAAACAGCACAGACTGACGAGATAAGGGAATGGAACACATGAGAAAATCTGTGCCATTCTGTAGCACCACTAGTTTATTATTTCAACATGAAAACGTGGCCTTCCCACTCTACGGCTTTGCCCTATTTGTGCTTATTCTGCTGTTTAGGCTTTAGTGACTATTATTACAATTTTTACAGAATATTTTAGGCTAAGGAAAACAAGAATTTTTTGTTTTGTCATTTTTTTCTTTGAAAAGTAGAATCCATTTCTCAATGTACTGCATTCAAATAAATCATTGGTTGGAGATTGAAAGGGTTGATAGAAAAGAGAGAGAGAGACTGACCTGACAACTGATCCCACTACAATCAGTTACATAAAACTGATGATGAATTTTAGGAATTCATTTTGGAGCCTTTTCATTTAAGAGAATTTATTTGTAGAATAGAGTATTATTTTTGTAGAATTTCCCCCCCCACCAATTGTGCCAGTGCGGGGGATGAGTGGTGGGGGCTGGGGACGGGAATGTCTAATCTCATTCTTCCACTTTATGCTTAAGTGGCTATTACTACAATTTTTACATAATATTTTTTTAGATACAAAACTGTGTTTCTGCTCATGACACATCCACATAGGCATCGTTATAAAAAGTACCAGACTCACAAAATGGATTCCAAGGCTCAAATCTTGACAGGAAACTTTTAAATTGCTGCTTTTACTACATATAACTGAGAGAAAAACAACTAGTGTTGCTACAGAATGGAACAGATTTTGTGGTACTACTTAAGTTTCTTATTCACTTGAGTCTGGGTTGTTTCCTGGTTTGCCAACACCCTCTACCCAACCGCTATCTAAAGCCACATAAAAACCTACCAAGGCCTTATGTAGTACCTACCGGTCCTCTGGGACATTCCCAGTGAAGAGCACCTTCGTGCTCCTCACATCACAGACCTACCTCAGTCTAACAACACATATTTCACACAGTATTCCTTGGTCCCATCTTGATGCTTGTAGTACCCATTGGTCTGGGTGTGGGATTCAGTTTCTCAATTACACACACAGTTGCCTGTCAATCTATTAGATTATGAAAATTGGGGTATAGATGTAATACAGGAGGGATCCGAATGACCCCAAACTACTACAATAATTTTTTTGGGCCTTTGCAATGCAACTCTAAACCTAGTTGGGCATTGAGTGCTTCTCATCCTCCATTACTGTATAGTCATAATGTGTAATAGTACATCATTGTCAAGAAGATTGCCAGGTAACATTTTCGCATACACGCTTCCCAAATATGCTCCAGCGTCACTATCCAGAGGCCAGAATTACGTAGGAATTAGAAAAAAGGAAGGGTTGTGCTAAGCCCTGTGAAGCAGGCAAACTCGTTTTGTTGGAATAAATTTCACGTGAGATTGCCAAGAATTGATCCTATACCTCCTTGGTGAAAGGCAAGCTACTTCACTCTGAGACATGGGCACCTTTTTAACCTTTTAAAAACATAATGTAGGATTTGAAACCACAGTCTTAAGTGACCATATACTTGGGCTTACTTTCTCCAAGTCGCAAGTCTTATAAGGCAGAATCACTTGACTGCACTATTTGTAACAAATGTAACTGTTATGTAACATTATTTACCCATATGCGATAGTGACACTTCGTAATTCCACTGCAATATGTAAATAAACAGGTATGCACAGCCTAAAACTAGAGGTGGTGAGAGATCACATTTTTGGCACCCCTGAGATATCAATCTTTTAAAATTTACATATGATATTCTTCTAAAACAATTTTTAGTCCACATTTGAATTCTTGAAAAATATTTCTGGGCAGTCATAGAAGGGTTTGACTCCAACTTGGTGCATTTACTGGTGTACATTCATACACTTTGTGACATTGCAAGCTGTTTTCTAATCTAGGATTCTTTTAAACAAATTTTAGGGTGAGGGAATCAAGTCCAAATCATATTTCTCTGGTCAATGAAAGTCCATTAGTAATTTCACTTTCAAAAAAATAACTCAATGCAATACTTGCAATTTACAAATGTTGATTTCCAGTAAAAGTAAAATTTAATAATCCAAAATATAAATAATTTAAAATGTACACATACAGCACAAATGTTGACTTTTACAACTAAATGAATTGCTGAATGTTTTCTAGCTTTTATATCCTTAAACAATAAGGGAACAAAACATCCTCAACACGTGAAAAATTTTCTCAAAAATGGCTCCAATTTTTTTTATTAACCCTCCGTTACATGCACATGGACTGAAACTCAGCACTTTTCTATTTTTGCCTCTCATTGTCAGTTATTATGAGGTATTGAGTCCTGTACCTTCCTCAGCTGTGGTGACTTATCAATTGGTGCCGAAAAAACCTTTCTCAATCACTGCAGACTGTAATTTTTGCTTGAATTCACAATGCAATTTTTAAAAAAAAATTCTGAAAAAGTGCCCATATTTTTTCTTTAAATTCAGAGATAACAACTGTACATGTCCTATTTTTGATGAATTCTTAGAATTTTTGAAAACAGCAAAAAATGAACACTACAAAACTATAATAGTAGAAGAAACTATAATAGTAGATTTCAAGAAGTGTTGAGAAAGTCTGTAGGATTCTATTGCCCCCCTAGTTTCTTACTGTTACAGCTACATCAAAATATAACACACATTCTATTTTTGTACATAGCACGAATCAAAATTGCTCTTCTATGAAAATTTTTTGAACTATATTTTGAAGATTATGCAAAATGAAATACAAGAATGTCATTACTTCAATAGATAATTGGATATGTAATAAATATTTTCGAAGTTCATTTCTTTTCAAAACAAGTCTGTTAATTTTTAACAATTTTTGAAATATTGTTACTGGTCTATTTTTCAGGCTACCTGTATCTTTCATCACATCACAAATCAAACTAAATGGCTGACAATTCGCTTGTCACCTGGCAACATCTGTGCTATAATATGAACTAGGCTGCAGCAAATCAGAAGCTTTGTCATTTATACCGTGTTGTCACCTCAAAGTAAGGGACAAACAATTCCAACACCTTGAATGTCACAGTTAATCAGCTGAGTGATACCACAAGCATTGAAAGAGAGAGATTATGAGTAGTATGTGGTGAAAGGTTTGCTATCAATGTTTATCCTATATTTTGTTGTGGTGCTATATTGTAATATGACAGAGCATGGCAACACCAGTCCCCATGAAACCCAATTCTTAACCACTTCCTTGTTTTATTCAGATTGTAATGTATGTCTATCTATTAATAAGAAAAAATACAAGTTTAAATTTTCTAAACTGAGTATTATTAGTTTTTCTAAGCCACAAATTTTCTCTTACCTCATCAGACGAAGAATGCATCATGCCTCTGTATGTTTTGAACTCTGAGTGTTTCAAGAATTGCTTCAGAAGAGAAGCAGTCATTTGTCCCCATTTATAGGGTACAATGGGGTCACAGTCCCCATGACATTGCAAAAATGGAATATCTTTATTAGAAGTAGCAAGCTGAAAAAAAATTTAGAGATTAATTTACACAAAAGGAAAAATTCACAATTTGCTTTGGAAAATAAACGTGTTCAATTTAACATGTGAAGAGAACATGTCATTATTAACATTTTGGACAATGGTTAATTCTTATCTACTAAAATTGTTTGACATTACTTCACTTAAATTTACTACTATATTATTTTCAAAATGAATAGATGTATTGAGCATTCTTTGCAAGTAAAAAAGGAATTGCAATTAGAGATTTGATTGTAAACTGGAAACAAAAGCAAGTCTCAGACTTCCATGAGAGAGAGCAAAGTAAGCTTATGAAATCTCTTAAGGGCAATAGTGAGTATATTTTGGTCCATGTTAAGGCAATTACAGTCCATTTGCTACTCTTGGCAGAAGAGTAGTCCATTTGCTACTCAGGACTTTCATATGAAACAAAAATTCTGCCTCAGAGGGTAAAAATTAGTAACATAACTTGAATGTCCTGTCTTCAAGAATTTAGAATGATTTGAAATTATGGTACATTTTCGACAAAGTAAATATTTGAACATTTTATGAATACTACATATTTTATGAATTAACGGCAGCATACAAGGTGAAGAAAGGAATTTAATGATTCAAAGGCAAAAGTAGTTTACAATTGCAACTTCATACATATTTAATAGTTAAATAAACACCAATTTAACAAAACTTATTTGAACTTATTGCGTAATACTTTATATTTACATAAGTTTCAGTGGAATGGCATTACACATTTTTACTCACAGCTGGAAAATGCTTATGAAGTGGCAGCCAGCATGACAGAGCAATAACACCAGCCAATGGTTTTGGAAAAGTAAGGGCAGAAAACATTGCTAGGGCACCTCCTTGAGAGAAACCACCTAATACAATACGATTGGATGGTATACCATTTTTCACTTCTTGTTCAATCATAGAATGAACAAGTTCACTTGCACGGCGAATGCCTTCCTCATCTTCTGGACCATTAGCATCTAATGTTCTCAGATCAAACCTGTGAAACAACAGATACAATTTAATACTAACAACCTAATCAACATTAAAACATTAGGAATACATTGAAAGAACTTTAAACTATTGTACCTGTCCACTGATATAAACAATTTTTCCTGTTTTCTGATGGTCAATTTATCCTAAATTTTACATAACTAACTACAATACAAATGGAGTTGGGATGAAAATATACTAATGTATTAAATTTGCAAATACATATACATTTGTGGATGATATTTTTTAATGTTAGACTTCAATGAAATTATTGACACTATTTACTGGCCTGTAATACTCATTTATTACACATTTGCAAGAGTATGCAGAAAGTTGATAAACGATATCCCAAATGCAATTTTATTTCTTTCAATCTTGAGAGGACCAGAATTACCCCAATAATTGTTTGAATTACAATAAGACATTCTTATTAGTGGTATAGCAAAAAAAGAAGTAGAAATTCTGATACAACAAACTTACCAAGACGGCATTCTAAAGCCCCCATTGAGTGTGACAGGCATTGTAGGACTGTTGGGGAAAATAATAACATGAATTATTCTCATAATAACTAGCATTAAAAATTAAATAAATGATTTGCATGGGAACACTTTCAATAGTAATTCATGCCCAGGAATATGAAATTTACTTACGCAGTAGGGCAGATGACTTTAACATGAGGAGCTCTAATTGATCCCATTCCACTAGCCCATCCATGACTGAAAGATACCAGAGAAATTATTAACAACACAATACATAACAGGTGAATATTTACCACCAATTTGTGTTTTGACTTACCCTGTATCACCCAGCCCATGGAGAAATATCAACTGAAAAGGAATATAATCGGAAACGTGAATCATTGTATAAATTCAATAAACAGTTCATTTATAATTTAATTAACGAATAATTTATCAAAATTTTATAAAATATTTAAAACGTTAACAAACTATACAAACTACAATGTTTATAGGTCTTACAGTAATTTTTGAGAACAAATACACAATTTACTACTCCAAACGGGCTTACTGTGGCAGTGTGTTTTGCAGTCGCTGATATCACTACCGGACTTGCAGACATCATAAGGCAGTAAAATGTATTGCTATTTAAGAACTCGAGATTGTAGAAAGGCGGAAACTTACAGATAATTTTTTCTTTGGACTAGATTATTCTTTTATCTAAATAACAATGAATACATCAACAGTGCAAATTAACCCTCTGAAAATTGTTGACTAGAAATAAATTATTTACAGTTTCAATTACGCTCGAACAGCACTTGGCATACTTGGCAACTTCAATTAACCTTCTCTACACATAATATAAATGCAAAAATAATACAAACACGCACGTCAAAGAGGAACAACACCTAAAACATAAATTTTTGCGCACAACCCTACGACCTAACCCGACCATATGCCTCTTGAACCAACCTAACCCAAAGATAGTTAACCCATCGTACACCACTTGTGATAGCAGCACCATCTCTCGCTAGGAAGTGCTGCTATCTTTGAAAGTGAAATTGCACTAAATGGAACATCGACCGACGGATTGCAGCAATCATTCCCCCCTTTTTGACGCATCCCTCAATGGAATATTGCGCAGTCAACTCTTCTGCGGAAAAAAAATCCCCTTAAGCTAAATTTTCAATGATAACTTTGTCTTGACGTTTTATAGAAGGGAATACAAATTTCGAAGTGATATCACGTATGCGTTCAATAATATTAGAGGAATAACTCAAAGGTCACAAACAATCGTTTTTGCAAATAGTCCACTTCCTATGTATTTTATGTTGAATAGCCCAAGATTTAAGGCGAACATAATTTCTCAAAAAAATGTTATAAACATTTTTGTTTTATTATAAACATTTTTATTGAAAATTGTTATAAACATTTTTCTAAGACTAAGGGTTTTTGAGATACTTAAGGAATAGTCAAATAGGAATCTCATCCAACCTATAAGAAATAAAATTTCCTATAAAACGGATTATTCATTTTTTTCATACGAGAAACCGCACTAAGGCATGGAGTGAAGAAGGGGTGACAATAAATTCATGCCCAGGATACAGTCTTTTGAAATGTGAATATAAACATATATAATATTCAATACAATAACAATATATAATATTCAACCAATCAATAAAGATTCAATAAATCTACCCCTGAATACCTATGACAGTTAGGAAAAGAGCATTTTTTACAACTTTTTCTCGTCATCTTCAACTTGCGAATGTTTTTATTCAATCGATTGATTCTTATCGTTGTCACATTCAGATTAATTTAATGTTAAAAAAATCAATTTGAATTGATTTGATTTATTTTCGTCAAATTACAGTAAAAACGGTATGTGACGTTTAATCTACCCACGTTTTCTTGAGCACCAGAATCTCTTCTCCACACTTTTACTACACATCCTTGAGTGATGAATAACTACCACCAAAGAGAGGTTAACAACTTTTGAATACAAGACGTTTTCGCTTCCGAGCTATAGAAAACTTATTTGCATCCCTAAACGACCTGCAGATTTGATGTTTGAGTTCTGCTAACAAAATAGCAACCCAAATTCCTGGCTTCACACCTACGATAAATAGAAAAATGTGTGTGTCGAAACCCCTGCCCCAGGCGAACTCGAAACGTACGAACTCTTGGTCAGAGGCACTAGAGAGACATCATGCTCTGAGCCACCTTTGATGGTAGGCGAAATGATTGCATTATTTTGTTAGATATTATTAGCAAACTCAAATTGATTAACCTCCTTATGTAGTTTAAAACGAGGTACAAGGTTATCATTTCTTCAAGAAACAGCATTAACAAAAAATAAATAATTTTTACTTACACGACTATTTGGCGCAATATTAATAAAGGAACCAGACCCTTATTTTAATTTTCAATTTCAGTTTTATGAACAGACTTGTGTATACAATTAGTTATAAACTATCCGCCGAGGAAGAATTTCCAATGCGCGGGTCTATTTTATCACAGCATTCATATTATTTTTCTTTTCAACCAGCACAAAGTTGCAAAAAATAAGCTATTGCATGATAGAGAAGTAAAGAACAAAAAATATGAAAAGACATAAGTACATACATACTTATAACATACATACATATATGTTTTAGTTAGGCATGACAGGCAGAGGTTTTGCAGACAACCAATTTTTAGGCTTCATAGACTAAAAAACGTGGATTCTGACTACGCAACGTGTTAGAGAAAGTAATTTACTACATGCAGAACGAGATTTATCCACTTTTTCGATGAGATAAATTGTAGGATGACGCCAAAAGAAAATTAATTTTTTGCGATTTTTGACAATTCAGAGTTTTTAATGAACATGAGACATGCACAACTCTCTTAAACGTCCGTCACACTATCCAACAACAAAATTGAATAAAAAACTATGGAGACAGTTTTTGGAAAATGTCCCAGGGCTTCATGTAAAGTACCCCTAAAAATTAAAATATATTAATTAAATGAAATTTAGCCACTGGATTTATACACTTTTTCGTTACCAGGGACCTGTAATAAGAGTTTTGCTGTCGAATATTGTTTTTTTTCACGCAACATTACTTAACTTTCTTTCTACTCCGTAAAGAGAAAGTAAAAAGCATTGTGACTTTGCGGAGTACTTTACACAGTCTCAAAATTCTCTAAAAAATTTCTCCAAATTTTCGATTAAATGTTTTCATCAGATAGAGCAAAATACGCTTATAAAATAGTTCAGGCCTCACTTTCGTTGAACTTCGAATTTTCGAACACGGCACAAGTTCAAAATGTTTTCGATGTTTTCCTTCGGTGTCTTATTACTTCCTTCGGTATTTTTTTCATTTTTTGAAATTTCAGAAAGTTCAACAAAAGCTAACACGATTAAAGAAAGATATATTTTTCTTAATAAAAATTGTTATTCAAAGTTTACTTATACAATACTTAAATAAGGTCACGTAGAAGTTTAAAAAAATATGGAATGTAGGCAATATTAAAAAAATAATTTAAGCCTAAACCGGCTCCAATCTTTTCTTTAATTTTTTCTGGGATGGGGAAAAAAGTAGGTTCATAGAAAAGGGGCAGGTTCTGAAAATAACAAAAGTTAAAATTTACAAAAGATTGAGAGAGTTTTTTTTCCTTCATAAAATCTGTTTAAAAATACTTTTTAAAGGTCTTGTAAATTTTTTAAAAATATGAGGATTTTTTAGGTAATTTTGAGTTCAATGATTAAGACAAATTTTGTTCGCCTTTGTACGTCTTTAATACACAAGCTATAGACTTATTTCTAAGTGCAATTGTCTTCTAATTTTTAAATGATTTTATATAAATTTGTTCGAAGTATGATGATTTTTGTTAATTTGAGGCAAAGTGTTTGGAAATGTCATCGTCAAAAATGTGAGAAGTTATCGGTAATACAAATGCTTTCCTCAAGTATTAGCAACTGTCTACAAAATATATTGCGGGGTAATGAGTTTTGCGGGTTGCATACAATACGAGTAGACGAAAAATGCCATGATTTGCGAACTTCTCTTCCTCGTCTTAAGTCTCGTTGATGCACCGCACAAGGAAATTCTATATCCAGCAGCGATACACTTTCGGGGTTTTGTGTCGGTGGTTTCTTATAAAAAGGGTAATAAACCGTCATCTTTCCTTAGCATATTGTACAGAATGTCAAAAAATGTACACACTCCAAGCAAATAATAAAAAATCTATCTTAACATACAAAAGCAGAATTCACACAAATAGAAAATGATGAACACTAATTGTCTTAGACTTTTACAGGTACAACCGTGGCAACAGATGCTCGAAATGCCAACTATTAACGTCCATACACTTATGAATAGTTGCACTACTGTTCGAGCAACATTTGCGAAAGTGTTCACAGCGACCGCAGCACATGCCTTTTCAATTTATTCCTAAAGTGCTGTCAGTAGATAGTTTTCTACGGTTTACATAATTCTTAAGAATTCCCCATAAGTAGAAGTCCAACGGAGTTATATCTGGAGAACATGATAGAAACTCAACAGTTCGTTCTATCCAGGGCAATGAAAGATTGTAATCAAGGTACTCAAGTACAACTCTGTGGTAATGTGACAGTGCACCATCCTGTTGGAACTAAAATTCATTTCCTTAGAGTGTATGAATGGTGGGTAAGACGGATATGCGTTCGTGTTCGGGTATACTTCGCCACTGTTCTTTAAAAAAGGAATGGATTAGATTAGATCTGGAGAACGCAATAGAAACTCAATCGGACCTCTTCGCCGTATTCAGTGCTTTGAACGATTGTTACGATTGTCAACGTTGCCAAGGTTGTCAGAGTATGCACCACCACATTGTCACAAGGATGTACGTGCATACCTTGTGGCCCTGGATAGGCTAAGAGGTCCGATTGAGCTTCTACCGTGTTTTCCAGATACAACTCCGTTGGACTTTTGCTGGGGTTGTCTTAAGAATGATGTAAACTGTAGAAAACCAGCTACACCTACAACACATTAACAATAAATTTAAACAGAATGTGCTGCAATATCTGAGGAATAATTTCGCAATTGTTGCTCGAACAGTAGTTTAACTACCCAGAAGTGTATCGACGCGATAGTGGGCATTTAGATCATCTTGTTGTAACTCGTAATGGTTTTACTGTAAAAGTCTAAGACTGATTAAAGGTCTATTATTATTATATTTTATGACAATTCAGTTTTGTTATGTAAAGTCAGTTTTTTATTTGTTTGAAGTGTGCATACATTACGTGTGTATCATATTTATATTACGTGTGTATACAATATTCTACCGTATTATCTTAAACTTTGTCGCATATTTTATGCTAATTCGCATAATGAAAAGTATCACCATAAGTGTAGATCAGGCTCCATTCTTTCTGGTTTCTTAAATCCTGTCCCAGCGGTAGAAAGAGACCAATATGACCGCTCCACAGCAGATCATCTCACTCTCTGTAATAATATTACTCTATATGGTTACTCTCTTTCTCTATATTATAGAGCAAAAACATATGGCAATTCTTAGTAGCTCCTCAGGCAATTCTCAACAACTCCCATAATATGAAGAGATATTCAAGATCTATAATCCTCATATCTAACGTTATTGATTTTAGCAACCATAAATGGAAAATAATTCCACACTGTGTCGATGGACGTGAATTAGTAGCACCTGAAGATAATGGTGCATTTATCAACAAACTTTATTCATGATTTTAAATAGGTTATGCTCCGATGATCGAAATACAAAATTTCAGCAGCGACAGGAAGCTTTATTTACATTTTGGTGACCGACACTTATTAATCTGTGAAATGTGGAATTTCTTGTTGCTGAGGGAAGCTTGTAATGTTGATTCTCAATTGATTCTTTTAGTAAGCAATAAATTTTCTGTTATCAACTTATTTTCTTCTTTTTCTTATCGTATGCATGTCGTTA